TAAACTTGCATTGACGTTCATTGGCATTAATTTTTATTTCAATGGAAAATGCGTCTGGCAAACACAGACAAGTGTGAACGTGCTCTTAAAGCTCTAGCTTCCTTTTAATCACAGGACAGTAAAATTGACAGTCAGTTTCCATCCTGCCTGAGGGCCCAACGATTGGCTCTTATCTGGTGGTATGATTGTTATATGCCCAACCCGATTGGGTTGGAATTGTTCAGACTGTATGACTTGCCCGTGTTTGTTCAGATTTACCCAGAATCCCGTTCTCTTGGCAAGCCCGTCTCCGCACAGCGTTACCTGCACCCCACTTGTCACCTCCTCCCATTAATTGCAGTGGTTATAACTCCCCGCCAAATACAAGCAGCGGCAGGAAATGCTCGTTATGGGGTCTTAGTCTGGTAATGAAGCGGCACGTCTCCCATCAGGGGCGTCATTGTTTCCCCGGCCCGTGCATTCCAGCCACTTTATGGCTTCTGTTTGTTTTTATGGTGCAGTATATTGAATTTTTCCCCTCGCTGCTTCAGCTGGTGACATATCCCCCTGCAAGGGGCACGGGCCTGCTACATGTTGGGGCTAATTCATCAGTAATGCTCGCAGGCTGCTCACCGTCCAGAGACATGAATCATAGCGCGGGGACCAGTCGTTAACGAGTCGGGGGTAATGCTTTACATTCATTAGAACCTCGAAGAATCACAGACGTGTTAGGTTCAACAGCAACTTAAAGGGCCAGTGAACCCGTATTATTATTTTTAAAACCAGGCAGTGTACAGACTTAAAGTGAACCTGTGCTTTGCCAGTGCAGAACAGAGCAACAGGTTCACTTACTGATAACTAAGATAGTTGTCCTTATGGAGGGAGGGATTTTACTCATGCACAGCAATTCCATAGAACAGTAAGTTCCAATTATCTTTTTATTATTACTCTTTAGTAAAACTTAAAGCAGCAGCCAGTTATGGTTATGCAGTTGAAAAACAAACTTTCTTACCTACCAAAATATTCCTCATTCTGTTCAGTCAGTCTTGGATTATCTCTATGCTCTTCTTCTGTTCTATGCTCCCTAAAGCAACACTATCACTTACATCAAACTTCTATGACAAGGTCTCGCTACAAAGATAAAAATATATGCGTGCCTCTCCCGCTGCCCACACCTCTGAATGCTGCTCTGATGAAGAGGAATCGCCTCCTTACGTCTGTACAGAAGTACCACAGTTCCCCCTCCGGTCCACCCCCCTCTTACTCTATGACTAAGCCCATAAGGGTGAAACGGATCAGAAAGGGGCGGACTGGAGGAAGGACTATGCGGCATAGATGGAGCTAAAATAAAGTTAGTTTTTTACAAAATGGTGTCATGGGTGTTCTTGGATCCTGGATCTAAAAGTGCATGTTGGTTATATTATCCTTTAAAATTACCTTTTTTAATGTTTTTTTTTATAAATGGTAATGCTTTCTATAGTGTCATCTGCAGGCTTTTAAAGTGTGGTTATAAATAGTGATCACCATGATTGGTCATGGTAGTCACATGACTGGGAACCAAACTGATTGGCTTCTGATCATTAGCCTGAGACCTGCAGCCATCAATGACCTCTGAGATCATTAATCTACAGCCTGTAGGTGCCAACCAGATCATCTTTCCAGGCAGGGGGCTGCAGGAAATAGAAAGGTGGATTCAAGGTGTATACTAAATACTTACAGGGTTATTCACAGAAGGAGGAAGAGTTTGGAGAAGGGAGGAGAAGTGAACAATCTAGGCCAAAATAACCGATTTGGAAATATTCTCCAATTCAGCTCACTTCCCAGTTCAGCTATGTTGTCCCAGATTGTACACTTCTCCTGCCTTCTCCAAACTCTTCACTCTTTTGTGAATAACCCTGTATGTGTTTGTAACATAAATATCATTATTTTTTATTGCATCGATAGAGTGGGTTTTTTTTTAATTAAATTTGCTTAAAGCTCTGAACTGAAGGAGAGCAGGACGCGTAGAATTAAGAGTTGGTTAAGTTTCCGTTGAAGTTGCGTGTCTTTGTTTGCGTTTTGTGGCCAGATGTACTTTTTGGCTGCTACAGGTCCACTTCAGTGTTTTTCTGGTCAGTGACAGCTGTTCCTGTGGGAAGTGATACCTACAAACATTAGATGGAGTCCGGGCTCCTGCATCTTGGAGAAATATCTTCTCACTTCCTGGTGAGTCTCTCCAACTGGACACCTTCTCTAATAGTATGTTGAGATGTCATTCTAAGTAAATGGAACCGCAACTCAACAAAGATCGTGTGTTAACATGTGTTTCACAGATCTAAAGGGGGCATGAGATGAGTTTTGTTGACTACAGATCCCTTTTAGTGCACAACCTGCTTTTGTATCATACTCCATAGACATGCTCCTAGGTCAGTTGGCTCCTGTCTAAATTGGCCCCAGTAGGTTTATGCACTTGAGATAGGCACCTTTGATTGTAAGCTCCTTGAGATCAGGAACTAATGTGAATGAATACTATGTGAGGAGCTGCATAAACTGATGGCGCTATATAAATATCTGTAATATATTCATAAATAAAACGGGAAGTGAAATTGAAGTAAAGTAAAATAATGCAGTTTAAGCATTCTCCATAATGATTTGGCTAATGGAGACAGGCAGAGGACACATCGGGAACTGGCAAAAAAATAAAATAAAGCTGGCCATACAGGGTATCGAATTGTGGCCGATTCCTGATGGACCAGCTTTATCGACTTTTGTTGAAGGAGCCAGATGGAAAATTGTTCACCCAACAATGACTGCAGTCAATGTTTGGGTATTGTGACAACGGAGGGGGTTGGCTTTTAGAACACAGTAGGCAGTAGTGGAGATTCCTCCATCCATGCCACAGATTTTTTTTCTTCAGCCTTCAGCCTGCGGTGTATGGCCAGCTTAAGAAAGAGACCCAGTACCAAACAGCTACCAATCCAGAGGGAGAAAGGATAGCTGCACAGGTAAAGGAAAGTTCAGCTAATTGGTTCCTGGGGGTAATAACAGAGTAGGAGTTATTTTGATTCGCTGCTCTGGCTTTATTGTTGGTTACCATAGGCAGCACCATGGGGCTCTATTTTGTTTGGGTATACAAGCTGCTGTGTTGCAGTACTAATGCCGTGTGTTGAGCGTTAGGGGTTAAAGAGCGAGGTGCGATTAATAGGATAACTCACCACCACTGGTAGGGTGGGATCCTGCCGAGCTCTACAATCCAGTGCAGTCACTGAGCCCTAGTTTGCTGGCTGCAGAGAGGCCTGGAGCAGGCGCTTCATGGCTGACATTCCAAATTACACTGCCCAGCCCAGCACAAACATCGTGTCAGATTAATGGCTGTGACTTTGACATATCCCAGCCAGGAAACCCCTCCATAAAAACAAAGCCCCACAAGTGCCCCTGGCATCCTGCAAGAGAATTTGTCTGTTTTGGCCCCAAATAATGGAATAAGATTAATCTTCAGCAATCTGACATGAGCAAGAAATTACTTTTTTTCTCTTTTATTACCCGTTTCTGCAGTAAAGTCGTTTGATTTTTGTGCAGTAACCCTTTCATTCCCACCTAAATTGTGATGAAGATTAGGAGGAGGACTCAAGACTATTCATTCGAAAAAACCTTAAAGTGAACCTGTTCCTTGCCAATGCAAAGCAACCACTTCAGTTAAGTGTTCACCTTCCTCCCTCCGCATGTACCTACCTTACCTTCACTCCTCCACCGTTCACTTCTGCCACCTGAAGCAAAGAGAAATGCCCAGCACTTCTGAGTAGAGGGGTGCAAAGACAAGAAGCCCTGTGTAAGCTCCGAGCTGATTTGGTTGGGGACTACACAAGAGACATGGCTGGTGGCTGGCGATTGGACACTCAGGCAACCATCATGGACTCAAAGATGAAATTCAAGAATATGAATTAATTATAATAATTTGTTGTACCTAAAGCTGGCCATACACTTTATGTTCTCCCTGTGGGCTGAACAAGAAAAATCACCAGCTAAAGAGTGTGGATGGAGGAATCTTGCATGCCAGCTATTGTATTCTGGCAGCTGGTGCCCCTGGAGTCAACAATTTTTTACCTGGCTCCTTTAACAAAGATCGATGCTTATCAAGCCAGGTAGTGCCAGTAGAGCCACCCATAGCTTGGATTTTGGCAGGAAACATCCTAAAATTTGATCTGTGTGTGGCCAGCTTAAGGAAGGCTCCACAATATGAACCAGACTGATGATGTTCTTTTATGGTCCTGTCAGCAAGGGCGGGTCAGTGACCAAGGTGTGTTGCTTAACTGGAGTGAGGAAAAGTGAGGTCAACTTGTCCATGCTTTATGGCAGGAGTAGCAATATAACAAGACTAGGTTAGCAGAATCACAATCATTTTGGTTATTAAGAAAGCTCACATGTACAGTATGTTCTACACGTGTGTTAAAGTAGATCTGAATCCACTTACTAAAATGTCATATAAGCTCTAACATGACAATGTACTTTCAGAAATATTTAATATTTTTTAAATCTGCAACTTCAATTACAAGACTAACTGGTCACCCTGCAATGAAGGTTCTTTATCAGGCACAAATCTGCTCCTGCATTGGGACTCACATGAACCCTGGTGGAGATTACAAGAGGCTGTGCTATTGCAGATTGCTCAGGCATGGTCCACCATTGTAACTCTCAGGAGGTTGGCCCTGAGCAATGATATGCTGCCAATGCTAAAGGAAATGTCTGTAGACAGGAAATGGCTGAAAGAAGCTGGTGAAGACCTGCAGCACTGATAAACCAAAAAAAGGATGAAATGAGGTGGACGAGATATTTCATGGAAAATAATGTAACAAGCGTTTGTGATATGCAGTGTATTAGCATACTACTTGTCATCCAGTTAGGGTTTACTACTTTACTATGGTTTATATTCTTTAAGCTATTGGCCTGGAGTGCAGTCTTAGTACAGCTTTTGTATCTATTTCCATGTTCCCTAGAGCCGTGACATCTCACCGCCTCCAGAAATCCTTATTTTTATCTTTCAGGTCCTTCTCATCCTCAGCGGTAACCTCAGCTTCCTAAACTGGCTTACCATCGTGCCATGTCTCGCCTGTTTTGATGATGCCAGCTTCAGCTTCCTTTTTAGCTCCAAAGATGGGTCAGTCAAACACCAAGTGGCCAAGATCCAAAGACAAGATGCCAACGGAGGCGGATTACCGAAAAGTTATGGTAAGCCCATGGGTGGATTAAACTGCAAGCTTAGATGTATTCTTTGTTTTTGTAAAAGAAGAATAATTCCACTCATTTATGAAAAGTCCGTGTTAAGTGGAATTTGGTGTGTTTGGTCAAGAATTGCTCATTTCCCTTACCTTGACAACTGCTGTTGAAAGATCAGCTTATGGAGGCCTTGTACTAAGTCATCTTCAGCTCCCATTTTGGGTTACATAAAATGCTGCAGTCCAAAAACTGAACCCTGTAATTTCTAGGGATGCACCAATACCGTTTTTTCGGTATCAAGTACGAGTACTGATACCGGTGCTTTCGCTCACATGGAGCCGTCCTCCTGGGCAATCAGGAAGCCAGGCGGTGGGTAAAGACATGCCACCTGGCTTCCTAATTGCCCGGGAAGCCGGGTTCCATGTTGTTTGGCCGGCATGATTGTGATTGGCCGGGAAACAGGCATCCCAGCCAATCAGCATCAAGCTGGCTTCTCGGCTAATCAGGAAGCGGGGCGGCAAGTAATGACCCGGCTGTTTGGCCTGTTTGATGCTGATTGGCCGGGAAGCCAGGTTCCAGGCCAATCAGCATGGAGCCAGCTCGATGTGGATTGGCAGGGAATGTCTGTAAGATAGACATTAGATCCATAAATTGTCTGTCTGGTTATCTTGTAATATCACTGAAGAGTGAGTCCTCCAAGGTGGTTGATTGCTTTACAGACTGTGACATCACTGAAGAGTCAGTCCTCCAAAATGGTTGATTGAAGTTCAGACTGAGACATCACTAAAGAGTGGGTCCTCAAGATTGGATGATTTTTCTTCAATCGGTGACATCTGGACAGTTGGATGATAGGTTTAGCGTAGTACGAGACTTCTGGTAGTTACAAATGTGCATTTTATAGAGAAACAATAAGAGAGGCAGCCGTGGGGGACAGACAAATTTGGTTCCAAATGAGGGACAGACGGGAGCTATGCCATTGAGACATAAGGCATTTAAGATAACTATGCATCTCCCCTGTGACATTAATGATCACTGTCCTCTCTTCAGCCCCTGACACCACTGAGACATAAAGCTCTCAGAGTGGCAGCTTTCTCTTTAGCAGACTACACAACTGTGATATTAGATCCATGAAGTGGAGTCTACAACATCACTGGAGACTGCTGCCAACAAACTGGTAGCCTTCTCCTCCGCCTTTGACATCGTTGTGACATGAAGCTAACACAATGGCTACTTCACTTAAGCAAATTACTTAGGTATTAGATCCATGAAATGGAGTATACAACTTCACCAAAGACTGCTGCCTACAAATTGGTAGCCTTTTCTTCAGCTTGTGACCTCACTGAGACATGAAGCTGACTTGGTGGCTTCTTCCTTTAGAAAATTACACTAGTCCACAAAATGCCTGACTCTCTGTTCTTTGACATCTCCGAAGACTGCTGCCTAGAAATTGGTACAAATTGGCCTTCTCTTCAGCCAGTGACATCAATGCTATAAAAAGGACTCTGCAATGGTTTACTGTTGTACACACGTATGTTACGAGGCCTGCGAGATGGATGCCTCCACGTCATCCTGTGACATTACTAAGACTTGAGGCTCTTAGAATTGTTAGTCAGTTAGCAGATCATGGGCTCTGTTCATAAAAACAATGAAGGATTCTATAGTTTGGTCATTCGCACCTTCTCAGCCATTTGGTTGGACACTTTTGTTCCAAATCACTGTTCTCGCTTTTTAAAAACCTCTGCAGCCTGTTATATTCATCAACCTCTTCATTTAGTCCAGACTTCACACGCCATTCTCCCCGTTTCATAAATATGCCACTTATTAGTAGGTTACTAAGATTACACTTTTCATACCATGTAGCCATGGCTTTGGCTGGTCTTGGATCAACCAATCAGATATTAGCTTTGAGAGGTTGCTGAACCAGTTATGTGACCTATGATTGGTGTGAGCTGTTGTGCAAGGTGTGGCTGAACCAATCATATGGCCTACAATTGGTGTTCGCTGTTGTCTCCAATAATCACACTAGCACCATAGACACTAAAGTCACACTATACCACATCCCAAATTTCACATCTAGAAAATGCATTGACTGCAAAGCAGCCCTCGTGCAACGATTTTATAAGGTGTAATAAGTAACATATATAACAATATATACAAAAAATATGTACATTTTATTTCATACGATTTAAAAATACATCATAAAACCAACATTTAATGTACCCCAATATGTATAACTTAGCTCAATTACACCAAAGCCAAATCAAACTTCTAAATATATAGAAGATCCACAGTTTCGTCATAGATTATCTGATCCTATGAATGTGGATGTCCAATGAAGGAGTGCTATGCCACAACGATAAATAGTGACGCGTTTCGCAGAGTAGAATCTGCTGGATCAGACTTTATTATGCTTGATAATTTGTATGTGTTTCCAGGGGCACAGTATTGTCTATCTACACCTTCCGTCCACAGCCAGGCATCAAGTACCGGTAACCCCCGGGGACAATATGGGATCCCAAGAGGCCTAGAGATAATCTTGGAACTGGTATCCAAATTGCCAAATGGTAACGAGTAATATAGTCACTGGTCAGGACAAAAGGTGGTGTTAGCGGTTGTACAAGGCTTTACATAAGCAGGGAATTTACATGTGAAATAAATGATTGTATACACATGAACAGCTTTGTAAATATGTCAAATAAATAGTTCATAGGACAGCATTTCCTTGTTTATTTTCTGTTTCTAATGAGGCCTTGTAAAAAGTAATTTGGCTCACAATGTGTATACAGAATAACAGCAATAATGTTTCCTCTATACAGTCTTTACAGCTCTGGAGCCTTTTGTCTGGTAAAGAACAGAGATGTGGCTGTGGGGGTCTTATGATTAAAGGGCAAATCTATCCAAAAGGTGAAATTTTACTTTTGGCCAATGCCATTGAGTTGCTTTACATGCTGTTTGCTACAACCCTGAGTTCTCTTGTAGAGGTGTCCATGAATCTGACTTTTCAGCAGCTGGTCTTACTGCTATCCCTGCATTTCCATTGGTGTTTTTCTATAGAGAATGTGGCAGGGGTGAGAGTCACATTACACAGAGGCACTTGACTTCTATGATTGACTTTACTCTAAGCACTCCTCAATTTATATCAGTTTCCTTGCATCCCATGTCTTCAATGGAGGTGCTCATTTAGAATGTAAAAGCATGCAAATGCGCTAAAGCTTTAGTGATACCCAGAATACCTTACTGAACCTGGCTAGCAAAATGTGAGCTAGCCTAGAGAAGAATTGGGGGAAGAAAACTGTTAATTGATTGTCTGTGCTGGAAGGTCAGCCCTCCAAGAGCCATTCAACTGGCGCTGTTCCGTAACATTGAAGATTCTTTGCTACAAATGCAAGGATCTTCCTCAGTTCAAATGTGTGGAGAACATACTTGAACATTCATATCTCCACAAGTAACTCATGGCTAAATGTTGGGGTATGTTCTTGAAATTCATTTGAACTGAGGAAGAAGTTGTTGAAAGAGGCAGTTTGCCCACCACAGCAGTACATCTGGAATCAACAACTACAAGGTTAGGGCATACTGTCATCCTTCTTTGCTAGCAGTTTGGTTCTAGGTGGGCAAACCCTAAATACACAGGACAAATGCATACACCTTGCAGGATTAGCAACATCATTATTTACTCTTCATCTTGTACAATGGTCTGTATTGTAAACTTGGTGTAAAGTTGTTAACTTCAAGGTCATTGCAAAAGACAAGAGGGATCTCTGTTCCCCTGGAGGAGATAACACTGTAGATTTCTGCTCCAGGGGGTTTCCGATTGCCATAGAGCATCAGGAGGGATTTTTTTTTCTTGGTAAATTGGATCACGGTTTTGAAGGAATACTTTGCCTTCCTATGGTCAGCTACGGGTTCAGGGTTTTGCAGGTTTTAATTTTATTGATTTTTGTCTCTTCTTTGAACTCAATGGACATGTGTCTTTTTCAACCTCTGTAACAATGAGGACCTGGCCAAATTACTCTGATTTAACAACGAGGACATGGAAAGATTGCTCTGGAAGGCAGACTGGCAATCTAAAACCTTTAATTGTACATGGGATTATGTCACCACAATATGATGTGTGGGAAGCTTTGTGTCACTCTTGGAAGCCATGCCGCCTAGGCTACTACAGTCTATGTTGGCTATATGGAATTCTGACAGTGGCAGCTTTGCTCAATCAGAGCAGCCATTCGGTTTGGCATTTTAATTTTGAGAAGTTTTGGTTAAATTCTGCGGGATGCCTCCGGTTACACCCAGCTAACCAAGACATTTTCACTTAGGTTCCTACATCCGCCAGATCCTACATGTGTCTCTGGGTGTCCTTATCGCCTACCTCAGTATCCCAGTTGTCGTGAATCTGATGAACTCCAGACAAGTTATGAACACGTCTTTCAACCCTCTACGGATCGTCAACACATATGGAGCCTTCGGCAGGTACTGTACAGCTTGAATTTCAAAGAGACAACCCAATGTTGAAGCAAAACTCTAGGCAACCCCTATACTACAAGATCGTGCACATTACTGAAAGAATAGAAAAAAAAGACCATGGCAACACTTAAAGTTTTTGCCATCTGTGTCTTGTTGTTGAGGAGAGCACTTGCATGCATTTTTATATATGCAACTGTGAACCATTGGCGATAGGTTCACCTAGAACCTGCAGTGTGCTAATGTTGGGAAGGGGTTTTTCTTTGTAAGCCAAACGTTTTTGTTTTTTTCCATTTGCCATAAAGTGTGGCATAGGTCTGAAGTCAAATCATCACTTCGAGACTGGGGGTGACAGTTGTCATTAAAACCCAGCCAGATCTTTGTGTACTATTTTGGATGGTATTGGCAAGGGTTTGAACTAGGGATGTCCCGATGCCACTTTTTCAGGCCCAAGTACAAGTACGGGACATCCCTAGTTTGAACCTCTGTCCATTGTTTATTGCTGTCTGTATCCCATTGGAGAAGTACAAGAGAATGTGCGTAGCTTTAAAAAATCACTAAAAACACTTGTGTTATATATTTGCTTAAATTGTGTATTTAGTTGATCCTCTGGAGCTACCCTTTAGCTATACTTTTTGTCTGATATAAAATATATTATAATATTGTAAACGTCATTCTCCTTTACTCTAGATACACTTAATTCTGTTTTTCCTCTAAGTTTTGGTTGTACTTGTTTGTGTTAAAAATGGAACGGTGCGTTCTGTGCTGATGTAGAAGGTGGCTGGCATTACCAGTGGAATTCTGGGTATCCCAGGCCAAGAAAGGTGACATTCTCCGGCCCTAATAGCAAAGCAGAGAAAACACTTTTACAGAGCTAACGCTGGAAAATATTTTTGTATTGTCGCTTCAGGCTCTTTCCCTAATTTCAGATACCCCGAGGAAGTCCAGCTGTTTCAGGCTTTAGGAATTAAGCGGAGAAGTTTAAGAGACCCAGTCGCCCTTTTTTCCTCCCTTCTCCACTACATTGGAGGGCACAGGGAAAAACTTTTAACCCAGATGTGGCCAAAGTTGTGTGTTGCCATTTTATGTTGTTTGTTTCCTCCATACTTCATGCACTGCACAAAAGTACATTTTGAAGCGAGAGGAGTATAAAGTAAAATCACATATTATATTGCGGGGTAATGACTCACCCCACCTATTTGAGAAAACCCTCTTTATGTTTGTTATGTGTTCCCGTTCACACAGCTTACCGAAAAATAATTTGTAGAAAAATATTTCTTACCTTTTAGGTGTTTTGTTGCAACAGGCAACATGGCTGATCCCAGGTTTTTTTGAGCACCTTCACAGTGATCTGTCCTTATAGAAAGACTAAGGGATGAAATTATTATTAACTTCATTAACATTTGAATGCAGAAGCCAGGGTTCTCTAATCCTTTAACCTCTCACAGCCCCTCCTTACATTACAAAGAAGGAGAAGGAAGTGGAAATTTTAACCCCTAAGAAGCCAAGAAACCCTAACCTAATTAAATGCAATTTAAACTGCAAGAAACATGCTTATGCTATGTGAAGGGGAACATGTAACAAATATAAAAATAGGTGTTATCCCAATTTGGCTGTGAAAGTGGAAATACACTTTAAGCTGGCCACATAAGATGCATTCATTGTTTGGGTATTCAGGCAGCGGTGTGTGCTGTGGCTGCTGAGACTGAATACAGTAGCTGGTTATGGAGATTCCTCCATCCAATCTGTTTAGTGTGGATGGAAGAATCTTTTGATTTTCTCTCATTGAGCCCACGGGCTGAACATGAGAAATCTAGCCATGTATGGCTAGTAATAGTCCTGAGTTCAGGGATGTAAATCCCTTAGTAAATGTATGGGTTTGTTACATGTATACAGCATCCATGCAGACACGGATGGCCGAAGATGCTTCTGGTCACCTAATGGTAAAAGTGTCCCTCCAAGGATGCTAACACCAGGGGTTAAAGGTCTTCACCAGAGCTACTGTTGGGGTAGTTGAACCTCCAAACCACATACTCTCTGGTGGCAACCAGCAGGTTAGTTGAACCAAGGCCAAGTAGAAGGTGTAAGGCAAGATTGTAGTCAAGGTCAGGTCAAATCTCTGTTACAAGAGAGCTAAACAACCAGAGCAAAGTAGCCAAATGGAGGCAGAAGTAAGGTTGAGAATGAGGTAGAGGTCAGTGCTGGCAATGATCAATGGAGGTCAGTTAGGATAATATGTAAAGAGAATCCATGGGGCAGACAGACTCTTGGCTACTGTACCCAGGAAGTAACAGGACATTTAAAGGCAACACAGCCAATAGAACTTTTCTGTCCTACTGTGCATGTGCTGCTGAACATTGTGTTGTGTCCAGGGGCTTGCTGAAAGTGCCCATAGGAGCCACAAAAAGGTTCTATACGGCTGACAGGTTTGTTTTTAACAGCCTTGTTCTAGTAGAGATCCTGGTCTGTTGGTCACCCAGAGCTGAACACAGATTTCTGTTTTTCTGAGGTCTTATGAGTCTTTAGAGACAGGCATCCAGAGGTGTCCCATCTTACTCCAAACTGATGTATCTTAATTTGTAGCTTGAATGGGTGCTGAAATGGCCAACGGATAGCGCCGTAAGACTAAAGAAGATAATGAGGTCACCAGCACACCACGGTCTACTTCATTGATCCGTCTTTTATTGGCGTTTAGAGAAACATGGTGTCACAAGCAAATGGAATGTTTCGGAAACACATACAGTCCTTTCATCAGGCAAAACGATGGTCAAATTGTTTTGCCTGATGAAGGGATCGCATGTGGTTCTGAAACGTTGCATTTGCTTGTTACACCATGTTTCTCTAAATGTCAATAAAAGACGGATCAATGAAGTAGACCTTGGTGTGCTGGTGACCTCATTATCTTCTTTAGAGACAGGTCTTCTGAGGACCTTCAAATATGGCAGCTTCATATCACAGTTTACACATGGGCAGTGGGACTTTTTTAAGGACTTACAATGGCATTAACAACTCTGGTATTAAAGTGTAGTACAACCCAGCTCCAGCCACAAGATGTTTAATTTTTGGGTACAGTGGAGAAGTATTAAAGCATGTCAGGTCTTTATTTTTATTGCTTTATTTTATTCCCCACTGGGGATATTTCACTTCCTGTTCCTGTGACCAAACTGGAAATGAAATCTCCCAATGACAACACAGAAAGTATTACCTATCTGACAGAGGTCCTAAGCCTTCCCCACACTATTCAGTCCAAAAAAAGGGATTGAGCTAGGATTCGACTTTTTAAAAGGAATGTTTTTTAGCAGACCATGTGAAGAATACAAAGTCCTCTGTAAGCAAACAAATTGATTTGCTTTGACAGATTTAGTGTGTTCGCATTCTCGTAGCTGTACAAAGCTCTCCATATTTGGTGTTGTATTTACATTTGCAGTGAAATGCGGTTTATTGTTCTTTGTTATAAACCATTGCAGGGTTAAAAAGTGTTACCAGAGTGGTATTCCTGGACGGTATGCCAGCTATGTACCTCATCCAAGATGAGAACCTTTCTCTGTCACCATGCTGGCGCCATTGTCCCAACTAGCCACTAGCCTTCTTATGAATCCAAATCCCTCGTTTTATTTTTCGCTCTTTAGGTCTGCTCGGTATAAACAGTTATTGTAGCTTCATAAAAAAGCTGGCCTATTAAATTCATTATTGCCCTTTCATAGATCTCCACCACCATCTCAAACTTCACTTCCTCAACACCAGGGTGAAGGTAAGGACTGCTGACCTCTGTGTGAGAGCAGCAGTCTATCTTCAGTGATCCCACCCGCTTCCTGCACCATCACAACTACTGATTTCCAATTAACATTTATGTTCCTGCATAATGGAGCTGAGTAGTTGTGACGTTGCAGAGAGCATGGTGGATTGCTGCAGATAGACCACTGCTCTTACAAATGGCGCTCATCTTTAGCCTGCTGCCAAGGAATGGCAGTTTGAGGTTGGCGATGGAGCAGTATTAACAAAGAAAATAGACTTTATGCATCCTGACTTTGACTGGACTATACAAGTTGAAGGTACAATTAGATTTGAAGGTGTCAAACATGTCACTACTACCACATACCAGGCCCCTTGATGTACCTAGGTTTTGGTTCAATCTCATGTACCAAGGTACCAAGCACTGCAGGGTGCTCTGGCATAGTTGCATAGTATTTGAGGTTGAATAAAGACATAAGTCCATCAAGTCCAACCTATTGCGTGTATGCATTTATGAGCAGGTGTGTGCGTGTGTATGAGTCCATGTGTGACTTTGCTCTTAGCAGTACCTGTACCCCTGTATAATATGGTCTCCAAGGAAATCATCTAAGTGTTTCTTGAATGATTCCACACTCTTAGCTGAAATCACTGCCTGTGGCAGCGAGTTCCAGACCTTAACCGCTCTAACTGAGAAAAACCCCTTGCGCCCCGTGTGCTGACATTTTTTCTCCACCAATTTTAGGTGGTGGCCTCTAGTCTTTGTTATCGGGTTAACCGTAAAGAGTTTGTCAATAATGTTGCCTTTACCATTGAACATTTTGTACAAGAAAATCATGTCCCCCCTTCATCTCCTTACTAAGAGAACATATTTAATTTTAACAACCTTGTTTCATAGTTCAGGTCCTCCAACCCCTTGATGAGTTTGGTTGCTCTCCGCTGGACTTTTTCCAGCTCAAGGACATCTTTTCTGAGTACTGGTGACCAAAACTGGACCGTGTAGTTCAGATGAGGCTGAACTAGTGCTCTGTGGCAAATGCAAATATCAATTAGCCTGCTTGTTAAGAACCTGTTGCCTCCTGTCCCACCACCCATGCTGAACTTTTAGCCAATGACACCGCTATTGTTGAACACATACAATGAACATTATCTTTTGAGGCTTCTACATTTATTTGTCTAAATACATCTGAGAGGTACAAGTGGATAGCACTCTTGCCTTGCAATTCTGGACTTCTTCCAGGTATTTGGGTTTACTTGCACATTCTAAAGATATGCTAATG